TCGTGCTCTCTCTCTCTCCTTCTCTCTCTCTCAAATAAATAAAATCTTAAAAAAAAAAAGGGTCACATTGCTGTAATTTACCACCACCACAACCCCCCCCCCCACAACCCTCCAAACTGTCTCTGCTTCTTCCTCTCCCCACTTCGGTTAAATGACAACATCATCAACCTGAAGCCCTAGCTAGAAAGCTCAGATATTCACAACTGCTTCCTTGTCCTGACTCCAACATATCCGAAGTGATCACGGAGTCCTGCTATTCCGACTTCAGAAGCATCTTGAGGGCCCAGGCCTTCCTCGGCCCCACTGCACCTACCTGAACCAGGAACAGTAAGCTTTGTTTACAAGGTCTGTCTCCCTGCTAGACTGAGAGTTCTGTCAACAGGGCTGTTTTAGTCCTCTCTGACTCCCAACAGCGAGCACAGTGTCTGACACCACAGGCCTCAGAAAATTAGATGTTTGTTGCAACAAATGAACAAACAAGCAAACGGAGGGAAATAAGATACTTAAAGTGTGTCAGATGGTAGGAACCAAAAGTGAATGCAAAAATTATGCACTGTTTTCTCTTGACTTGATAAAGTTGTTTCAGGAAGAAAAAAGTACGTGGGAGAAGTGTGATGTGGCACAGATGGAAATATGGGAGGAGTTTTCAACAAAAATATTTCTAGCTTTTTCCCCTTCAATATGTAAACATGCTAACTTTCTATGAGGCCAGTAATAGGTCCAAAGTCACCTCATGGGTCGGAAACCAAGCTGGGTGGAGTTTAAACCCAAGTCTTTACAGGGGGCTAGATGGTCATAAAGTAGGTGGGGAAAGATAAGCTGACTACAGATAAGCCCAGTGCCTGAGAGGGACAGGAATGTCACAGAGGAAGGGACAGCGGAAAGCTGGAAGGTGGGCTTCCTTGTGGAGCTGGAGCTTCTGACTTCTACTTGGGAGAGTTTATTCATTACTTGGCCTCCAGGGTCTGCGAGGGCATCTTTGGTAAAAGAAAACTGCAACTGGGCCAGGAGGAGCCCAGGGAGCCTCTGTTCTAAGATCTCAAGCTGAAGACAAAGTCAACCACAACACCCCGTGCTGCAAACAGTTCTAGGCGAGGTGTAAGTTGAAGGACGAAGGTCAAATGGCATGAGCCTCTCAGTGGCCTTACAGCTCTAGCCAACCAGATGATCTAACTCCTAGGTCCTGTGGTGCCTAGCTCCGTGTCTTGCACAGACAGTATGAGTTTCAATAAATATCTAATGATAAATGCCTTGAGTTGGGAGGCAAAGCAGCTGGGAAGCTGTAAGCCTGCCTTAGTCTCTAAGGGAAACTCAGCCCCATGCCTGCACGGACTCCTGGAGCCTGTCTCTAAGTGTGTACGCAGGAGCATCTTCATGACTCACACTAATGAGGGAAGCTATGTACATGCCCGACGGTCAAAAACCGCTTATTCACAGAAACTGAGGCACAGGAAAGGGGAACCATGCATCACTCTCAAGACCCCAAACTCTGCTTCTTGGTCCCTGAACCATTAATATATACGTCATCGTCGGAGCCCCTCCTGTCTTCCTCGGCGCAACTAGAAATATCAAGTTCCCTGGATATCGGCTCCTCAACATTCTAGCACTATGGAATGGGGAAAATTCTGTCCCAGATCTAACAGATCATTCATTCACACAGTGATCTTTTATTGAGATCTTATCTTACTATGTGCCAAGAACCATTCTAGGGGCTAGGGATATGCCAGTGAACAATACAAAGAGCTCTGCTCTTTGGAACTTAATATTCTAACAGGAGGAGACAGACAAACAGCATAGATTTGTAAATTATGGAGTTGTTAGAAAGTGATTTGTGCTATGAGAAAAAGAAAAATTAGCACAGGGTAGAGGAGATGAGGAAGATCGGGGAGGATGGGAGCTTATAGTTTTATTTTTATTTTTTTTTTTTAAGATTTTATATATTTATTTGACAGAGAGAGACACAGCGAGAGAGGGAACATAAGCAGGGGCAGTAGGAGAGGGAGAAGCAGGCTTCCCACCGAGCAGGGAGCCTGATGCGGCACTCGATCCCAGGACCCTGGGATCATGACCTGGGCCAAAGGCAGACACTTAACGACTGAGCCACCCAGGCGCCCCGGGATGTCATAGTTTTAAATAGGGCGCCAGGAAGCCCTCACTGAGAAGGTGAAGCTGAAGCAGACACGAGGGAGGGGAGAGTGAGGCCTACAACATCTGGGGAAAAACATCCAGCCTGAAGGAACAGCGAGGGCAAAGGCCCTCAGGCAGGCACATCCTGGTGTGTACAAGGAACAGCAAGAAGGCCGGCAGGATTTGTCAGTCATTCATTCATTGCTCATTCTTTCGTTCGTTCGTTCATTCATTCATTCATTTAACAAATATTTACTAAAGAGCCATCCCTTTCCAGGCACTGGGTGGTGAAAACACTAGTAAGGTCTGATCCCTACCCACGAGGAGCTCATAAAGCTGGGGAGCAAGGAGGAGATAAAATGATCTTAAAAGAGGATTACACGCAGAGCAGAAAGACTCTGGCAGAGGTTAGGGACCTTACCCAACTTGGAGAGTCCACGGAAGCATAGCAAAGACTCTCAGGGAGATGCTTGGCTACACCTGGCAGGCCCCCAGCTCTTGTTCTGATGCTGCTGACAGTGCTAGCCAGGTTAACCCTGCTCCCTTGTTTTTCGTAGCTACAAAAGCCTTCCAAACACCAGATTTGTAAAGAGAATCTTTTAAGATGCAGATGTAAAGTGTGTGCCATGTCCAAGAGGGCCTCAGACTAAAAAGGTAAATGCCAGATGAAAAGATCTGGGAGAGACCATACTGGGGGCAGCCCAGGGTGGCAATGAGTTAGGATGGAACCACAAAGCCCCAGGGTGTGTCCATTAGGGGTGACCATCATATCACACTCACACCTCCACAGCTTCATGCTGCCCTGGGTAGACTATGCCTGCGTTTCCACGGAATCAGGAGCACCCCCTCCAGGGCTAGGGCTAGGGCTAGCACTCAGGCTCAGACCACCAGCCTCTGTTAAGGAGACTCCAGTGAACTAAAATGTACATTTGGAGAATTCCACTCATCAGAGCTCTGGCCTATAAGATGCTAGCTCTGTTTTTCCAGCTTCCTGAAGTGGTACTCCTTTTTACAAGATGAGTCCAAAGATGCCCCTGCCAAGACCCAGGAAGCTCCCACCGGACAAGAGCTCAGCCCTCCTGATCTGGGGCTGGGAAGCCTGGCCAAGCCAATCCATACCAGTTGGCTCCAGATCCAAGCTGAACGATGCAAACGTGCTTGCTGGGTGTGTCACCAGCAACCATCCCAAAGACCACAGAGGTGGTGAGCGGGAAGCCGCCCTGGTGAGGCCTAACCAGGTTCCTGACCAAGTAACATGGGAGAAGTCTTCAGGGCCAAGGGGCTGCAGGGTGGGGGGAGGGCACAGATCCTCACTTCTCTACTCCAGGATCAGCTACCTGGGAGAAACGGGTTCCTGGGCCTGCACCTGCAAAGCTCCCCCAGCACGGTGCCATCACCACCAGATGTCCAGGTCCCTTCAGTCTCTCTGCAATGAGGCCACCTTACCAGGCTGTCTCCCACTTGGACTTCTATTACTCCAGTCCTTCTCAGTTCTGATGCTGAGATTCACCCTGTCTGTCCCTCTGAAAAAGGGAAGGTATCAGTAACCCACTCTGGCCCTGACCAGAGCATCTTTTCAGAGCAAACCGGGCAAGGCCTGCTCCTACCTACCCCACCCCATCACCACTGACCCATCCAGTTCCAGGCTCTCCCCTCCCCATCTGAGGCTTGCTCCCTGCTGGAGTGCCCTGGGCGGGCAGGCTGCCTTAGCCAGCAGGAGCTCTACCTATGGGGAAGGGAAGCAAAGTCCTGGATTTAAGATGTGTGCCCTCCCCTCCCCCATTCCTTTATAAAGAGCTTCCCTTTCTGCCTCCTCAATCCCTGTGGCCTAGGAGGGTTTTACTCCATAATTGGCTTGTTTACTGCCACTGAGGACTTCTGAGTGGCAGAGGTGGGAGGAAAGTTTTGTTGGAAGTAAGGAAAGGGGTGTGTGCCCTGAGCTTTGAGGCTGATGAGTAAAACCTCCAAGTGCCTCTCTAACTACCTGAGAACTGGCCAAGAACCCATGTGAGAAAAAAAACACAAGGCACTGCAAGGCCAGCTGAAGATTTCCAGCAAACCACAGGAGGGAAGCTTATGTTTGGCGCCTGGGAAAAGAACAATAACCAAAACTTGATCTGCCTGCTTCTGCAGAATAGTCGAAAGCATTACTTGGCACTGTTCTGAGTGGGGAGCCAACCAGAGACCTCCTAATTCAGCTTCTGTGGGTTAGGAGCTCCAGAAACATCTCTCTTGCTCAAAAACTTCCGACAGCACCAAGCAAACGCACCGCCCTGTCTTCAGGCGCTTCCAAAGGCCCCAGATGACTCAGCCTCTCCCCACTGACCACAGAGCAGCAGACTCAAACCCAGCTCAATAGGACCACCTGCTGGGCCACAAGCACATCCTTTGCTTCCCCACTCAGGTGCTCTGCTACTTGTGGGGCTCCCCCTGCCTGAGGCACCAGGTTTCCCCACATCTTCAGGCTCTCCCTTCAACGCTCCCTCCTCCTGTGAAGGTTTCCCCAGGGCCCCAGCCCCTTCCCCACCTCACCCCAATCAGATGTGTGGCCCCACACTGTAATCTCCATGGCCTCTTTTAAGGCCTTACTCTGTCCTGCTTCAGTAGCTCCCTGAGGCCTTGCTCTATCCCTCCAAGTGCACCAGCGTGTCTCGGCTCTGATTCACCTGGAGCACAAAGCACAGTACCTGGCAAACGGCAGATGCTTATGAACTGTTCCTGCTGCCCCAAATGCCATTCACCTCAGAGGCACCGGAAGCGATGGGCAAAGGGACAGTCACACCAAAACACTTAAGAACAGCCAACACAAAACAGGCAAGGGAATGAGAAGCGTCACAAAGCCAGCTAACAGGGAGAGCTCCATCAGGCCTTACCCTTCTTGAACTCCTCCAGCATGGCATCCAACTTGGTGTCATGGAAGACGAAATGCACTGGGTGGTTATAGAAGCGGGTGATGGTCTTGAGGGGGGTGCAGTCATCAGGGTCCACGAAGGCCAAGTCTTTGACATAGAGAATATCTACAATATTGGACTGCTCGTCTTCAAACACGGGGATGCGGGTATAGCCGCTCTCCATGATCTCCGACATGGTATTGAAGTCCAGGATGGCATCACTGCGGATCATGAAGCAGTCTTGGAGCTGGGTCATGATATCCTCCACGGTTTTGGTCCGTAGCTCCAGGGCACCCTGGATCATATTTAGCTCCTCTTTCACCAGGTCGTTATAGGGCTCCGTTACCTTCAACATCTCCATCAGCTTCTCCCGGTTGTAAACGGTGCGAATCTCCTGGCCCAAAACAAAATCCAGGAGCTTGCTGATGGGGAAACTGAGGGGGAAGGTGAGTAGCATAAAGAATTTGGTGAGAATGATAGTGTTGGCACCCACAGCCAGGCCGTGTCGGGAGCACAAGGCCTGAGGTACGATCTCCCCAAAGATGACAATGCCAATGGTGGAAGAGGCCACCGCCATGAGCCCAGACCCGATGAGGTTGTCTAGAAGGATGGTGAGGGACGTGTTGACCAGCACGTTTCCCAGAAGCAGCGAGCAGAGTAAGTAGTTGCCCTTGCGCCGGATGGGCTCGATCTTGCGGGCATAGCGCCTCTCCTTCTGTGTGCCACAGTTCTGCACGATGCGCAGCTCCATGGGGTCCAGGGCCATAAGCCCCAGGTTGAGGCCAGAAAATATGCCCGACAGCCCCAGCAGCACCATAATGAGGAGGATGTGCAGCCAGAGGGGCAGGAACCTCCCAGCCTCCTCCACCATGAAGAGCAGCGAGTCCTTATCGGTCCACCTCTGCCAGGGACCGTCCACCCCGGCCCGGGTGCACAATGCATACAGCTTCATGTTCTCGCTCCTCCGGAGGAACTTAGTGAGCACCACCAGCATCCCGGACGTGTTCCCGCGGCTCACGTTGACCAGCTGCTGGACGACCAGGTCCTTGGTGAGCTCGGGACAGTTGGTGGAGTTGTGGATGGCCTCGGAGTTGTCCACCTCGGTGAAGGAGATCAGGTTGCTGGAGATGGAGCCCAGCCTCTGGCCGTACAGCCTCAGGTTCACCGTGCTGCCTTCGGACACGAAGATGATGCCATCCGCGTTCATCCCACACGATTTGTTGCAGCTCGCCAGCCTCATGCCCAGGATGGCGCCCCGCTGGGGGTCGCCCTGGCCCCCGGCCCCCCGCGCCCACATCAGCACCAGCAGCAGCAGCGCCGCCAGGAGGAGGCGCCCTCGGGCCGGCCCGCCGCCCGGGCGCCCGCCCCCGCCCACCGGCGCCATGTTGCTCCGGCTCGGCCGCCGCCGCTCCCCGCGCCCCGCCGCGCGGCCCCGCTCCCGCCGCCGCTCCTGCCGCTTCGCCGCCGCCGAGCCAACTGCCCGGGCCGCCGGCCTGACGTCAGGTCAGCGCCCCGCCCGCCCCGCCCCGCCGACCCACGCCCCTCATTTGCATGGGAGACCCCGCCTCCGGGCGCGCGGCTCCAGTGCCCGCCCTTAAGGGGGTCCCGAGCTTAAGGTGGAGCGGCGCCTGAGCGCGGGAGCCGCGGGCGGACGCTTGCCCCGCCCTTCTCGCACGCCCTTTCCCGCCGGCCTTCCCGGCCCGCTGGGCGTCGGTGCGGCCCGCTCTCCTCTGCCGGGCCCGCACGGTTGGCCTCGCCGTTCCTCTGCTGCAGTCTAGCCGGGCGTCCCGTGCTGGGCTCCTTCCCCAGAAGGCTGTTGCTTGGGGCAGGGTGGCCCTTCTCTGCAGGCACCTCGGAAGCAGCACGGCGTTGTGCGGGGGCGGGGGGCCGGGGCCGGGGGCGGGTAATGATTTTCCTGATATAAAGAAAGAAAAGGGGAACCTGAGGGTTGAGGCCTTCAGGTCCATCGGCATGGCAGACTGGCCCTTGGAGACTTTTCTGGCCTGGGAGTTTTGTTGCTGACCTCGTCCCAAGGCCAGAAGTAGGTTCCCCGGGGCCTAGCCCCCAGGCCGACACCCTTCGGCCACTGGCTACCTGGTGGGAGGAGAATCTGGGGAACTAAGGATATAGAAGGTACTAGCAGATGGAAGCGTCAGGGTCTGGCCTAGGCTCTTCTCATGCCATTTCCATTTAGGACACAAATACTGAGCACCTACTATGTGCCGGGTGGACACTTGTTCCAGGCTCTGGCAGTGAATAAGCCAAAGTCCCTGCCCGCTTTTTACAGTCAAGAGCAGAAACAGACCATCAACAAGTATCCTTTGAACAACCCTAAGAGGTAGTGTTATTTGTCCGTATAACGGAGGAAGAAATTGAACCTAGGCACAAATTGGAGTCCCCCCACATTGCTATTTTAAAAGAGGCTTGTGTGATTGGTAAGGCACATTGGAGTGACTTTCAGCTCTAAAATGGGGGTAAGAATGATAATAGGGCACCACCTCTCCAAGCTTATGGGAACAACTGGCTTAGGCATTGAACAGGACGGGACAACTCTGAATGTTCTATGGAGCTGATGTTGTTGCCTGCCCTACCGGACCAAACCCCTAACCCCCAATTGTGGTGACTGGCCAGCTGGGGCAGACACATGTGAAAATGAGCTGAGAGGTGTGGCGCCAGGCCTAGCCCTGAAATGACTGCTTCCTGGAAGGCCCTACCTTGGTGTCAATTAGCAACTATGAATTGAGCAACAAGCACTCAGGAGGTGTGGGGAAGACCACAGCCGCCTGTCCTGTCAAGGGGAAGGAGACAGACAGACAAAAGTCCTTACAATAATTGCAGAGGTGCACTGAGGGGAGAATCAGGTACCAGGCTGACCAGTGGGTCTCAGAGCAAGTTTTCTGCCAGCCCTGGAGACACAGAATCCATTTTACTCTCTCCCTGCCCAAACACTTGTGTTTTATTTTTATCGTGGTATACTGTTTGCCAATAAAAGCAACGATCAATACCAGCCAGAAAGAGCCTAAGCAGAGGAATAGTCAGGTACAGTGTCATGGGAGGGACGTGGTGGTAGAGAGGCCTAATTTAGCTAAGTACTCTTAGCAGGGGTAGAGGGTTCTGCATACTAGGCCAGGTTAAATGCTCTCATCAGGGATAGAAGCCCAGCAGGGAAAGAACCTGACACTGGTCTGGACCTCAAATACCTCCTCAGACATTTTCCACGTTATAGTGCTTTTAGCTTTGGTGGAGAGATTCTTGTCTCCTGTGCTGCATTGAAGGCTCTGGGTGGGCAACAAAGAGTTTTATATCTTTACTTCATTGAATCTGTTTTTTCCCTTTTTTTGGTAAGATTTTATTTATTAATTTGACAGAGAGCACAAGCAGGGATGAGGAGCAGAGGGAGAGGGAGAAGCAGTCCCTTGCCGGTAGGCGCCTCACTTGCTATCCCACAGTGAGCATCTAGCAGGCCAGTTTGGTAAGGAACAGGGGCCTCGGGATGGTCACTGGCCAAGACAGAACAAAAGCAGAAAGAACCTCTGACTGGCTGTTCTCTCCCATCTCCACCAACCAGGAGGAATCACCTGCATCACCTCAGAGCAAGCCCAGCTCTCAGAGAGGCTTCTGCCCACCCCACCTCATCTCTTTCCAGCCAACTTGAAGACTAATGACCTCCCCCATGGTACTTAGAGACTTTGCCATTCTATTATCGACTAATCGGCTATTTTTATTTTGCCCTTTTCAAACTGTCTGTGCTCAGAGCTCTTTATATATACACTGAGTCCAATGACAGAAGCCAACAAAGGGAAGGAAAAAATAACCTGTTGAGATACTTGGGTAAAAGTGGGAGGGGTGGTGAGGGTCTGGTAGGAAGAATTAGTCTCTGCTAAAGTTCATTTAATTCCACTCATCCGCCATTGCATTCACATGCATACTTAGGTGAATAGAACAGACTCAACAGGGGCGCCTGGGTGGCTCAGTCAGTTAAGCGTCTGCCTTTGGCTCTGGTCATGATCCAGCCCCGTGTGGGGCTCTCTGCTCAGCAGGGAGTCTGCTTCTCCCTCTCCCTCTGCTCCTCATCCCTGCTTGTGCTCTCTCTCTCTCTGTGTCAAATTAATAAATAAAATCTTACAAAAAAAAGGGAAAAAAAACAGATTCAATGAAGTAAAGATACAAAACTCTTTGTTGCCCACCCAGAGCCTTCAATCCAGCAGAGGAGACAAGAATCTCTCCACCAAAGTTAAAAGCACCATAACTTGGAAAATGTCTGAGGAGGCATTTGAGGTCCAGACCAGTGTCAGGTTCTTTCCCTGCCGGGCTTCTATCCCTGATGAGAGCCTTTAACCTTTCCTCATCTGCAGAGTTAAACCTTTCCCATCGAGTGGAGGGGACAACATGGAAGTGGAGATCTATGTGTGTGAAGAGTCAGGAAGCCTGGACAAATGTGTGGCTTCCGTGAACCAGGCTGTGAGAACTGTAGAAAGTGATGCGCAGATGAGAATTCTGTCTCCTTTGAGGGTCAGACCTGTTTCTCGGCCCCAGGGTGGAAGCCCTTACTCACCTGTCTCCATTCGCAAGTAGGGAGTTGGGTGAAGGTCATTCTCAGAGGAGTCTGATACCTGACTCCTGAGCAGCTCAAAGCACTCCATTCATGACTTTTGGACCTGACAGGTTTCTGGACTCTATGGCAGTATGTCCACACCCCCAGGGTTGAGCCCATGCCTTTCCGGTCCTGTGCAGGGAGACAGACTTAAAAGTCTATTGCCCCTTCTTTTGTACCTGGCATGGTGCTGATGCTGAGGGTCCAATGGTGAACAACGTCCTGAATTAGTAATCTGGGACCCCCGGCACCACTCCCCACAGGCTGTGATCCTCCCAGGCTGCTTTCTTAATCCTTTTCAACCTCTGGGTACCCAAGATGGGGAGCTGCTGCTTCTCGGGCAGCAGCTCCCATCTGCTGGTGGAGCTCAGAGCCTGTGGCCACGGGGGCCCCACGAGTCTCTCGGAGGATGCCCAGGTCCTGGGGTTCAAGAGCCTGGGTGGGGGCGATGAGGTGGCCTGTTCCCCAGCTGTCTTGTTTTTTTTTTTAAGATTTTATTTATTTATTTGACAGAGAGACACAGCGAGAGCAGGAACACAAGCAGGGGGAGTGGGAGAGGGAGAAGCAGGCTTCCCGCGGAGCAAGGAGCCCGATGCGGGGCTCGATCCCAGGACCCTGGGATCATGACCCGAGCCGAAGGCAGCCGCTTAACCGACTGAGCCACCCAGGCGCCCCCCCCCCCAGCTGTCTTTTAAGCCTGCAATACCCCTGAGCATTTGCAAGTCATATCTGTGCTGTTAAGTTGTGTGGGGAGAGAAGGGGCAGGCATCCCTTCACAGAGGCACAGAGCAAGCATGGGATTAGCATTGGTACCTTGGCTCAAATCCCAACTCAGGTCACCCCAATAGGTGGGGGCATGAGGACCTGGTGTCATTTTCTACCTGAGACAGACACTTCATTAAGGTGAGGAGGGGACAAAAGCATCAGATCAGGGGATCCAGGCCATTAAAGGATGTGCCCGTGACAGGAAGTGGAATGCCAGAGCAGCAAAGGGGAGGAAGCACTTGTAGTCATTGGGTCGGCTTCAAGGCTCCACGGCCAGAGGACAAATTGTTCTCCTTTGGGACAGGACCGCAGGAGGCAGGATGCCCCGCCATGGGGGGTTCCGGCTCAGCTCAGAGGGCACACTGTGGGGCTGGCTCTGCCAGGGATTGCCTCTGTGACCTGGGACTCTGGGACATTCTGGAATGCTGAGTGAGGTGATGCCTGACCCATGGTAAGAGCCCAATAAACTTGATCCCTAACCATGATGGTGATGAACATGACAGGGCTGGGATTTTTGGAGGACAACTCAGATTTCTTTAGATCCATTGTGTCTCCATCCAACCCCAACCGCTGTGTTCTTGTTCTTTCCCTTCCCTTTTCTGCAGAGAGAGAAAATCTGTAGAGGATGGTGGGGAAGAAGAGACTAAACAAGACCACATCCTGGACCCCTTGGGCCTCAGGGCTGAGGGAAGAAAGGAGGCTGGGGTGCAGGTAGAACCACTGGAGGTAAGGCAGGGGTCAGCACAGTGCCTACGGGCTCTGGGGCTCAGGCTGTAAAAGCTGGCAAGTTGGGGAGAGGGAAGCCTATCACTGGGATCTAGGAGACCTGACGGCCCACGAGGCAAGGACTGCTGGGAAGCCCCCTGCTCGCAGCAGGGCCCCTGTGAGGAGTGCCAGGCAGCGCAGGATCTGGGGGAGGCACAGCGGGCCCAGGACTCTGCCTGCTCCCCTTTCTGCTTCCCTCCTCCTCTCGTGCACTGGAGCTCCCCCCTTCCCCGCCATTGGCCACCCTCCCCCTTTCCCAGGACTGGCTACCCCAGCAAGCTTTTCCTTCTGCCTCCCAAAACACAAAGACCCTTTTTTATGTTAAGAGATTCACTGTTA